AAGTTCGAAATATTGAATCTGTCAAATAGAAGTAGTCCAGCAAGATCTAGTTTACGATGAAAGTCACAGTTTTTCGTGTTTGTAAAATAGGGAGAAAATTGACGCTACCAACGCCGGTGACGACCAACGACTGGCGAGAACCGAACACAGTCGAGTCCGAATAAGAAAAACCTGTTATAACAATGTAAATATACGACCTTGTCGTAAGCATTGCTACCCCGTGTTGCTAACTCTACTACTAATTTTTACTGATTGAAGGATTAATCAACAGCTCTCAGTTACAACTAAATACAAATAATTAACGCTGAACCTACTGAACCTTAAAAAAGGACCCACAACTGTCTATCAAAATGACACAGAAATAATGATAAATGTATAATGGTAACTGTGTGTTTTCAACATTATGTTAAAAGAATGCAAGCATCTTTTTTAGTAGCACGAGTAGGACACATCTTCAAACATACCAAAAGGGCGATATCAAGGATGGTAAACACTGCTTTGCACAAGGGGCAGGTGACATTCCTCCAGTTAAATCCGACCTCGGGGCGGCTAAAGTGCTCCATCAACACCAGCCTGGACTGCTCTGAGGTCGGTGCTGGATCACAGGACCAGAACAACAGCACCAGAGAGCAGGTGAGCAGGAACCAGGAGGGCAGCGAGGGGAGCTGCATGGTCCCGAGTGACAGCAGGTGTCCGGTGACAAATGTTTGTTTGCAACCTCTGTGAGAAACACGAGAAACGCAGAACAAAAAGCGAGGTGTGACAAGGAAGTACAACTCAGCGGTGTAGTTAAAAACTTCAACTTGAGAATAAATGAGTCACACACAAACACATGTAAAAGCGTTTCGACACAAAACCGGGCTTGCTAACAAGAAGCTAGCTAGTGCGTTTTTTGCTACTGTACCTTCAAACAAATGCAGACCGGAGGGTCGTTGTCTTCTTCCCCGGGTGGAGTTAACACAAGGCGGACTGAGTAAAGACAGTTCCGCTTCTACTTCCACAAATTGTGCTGCAGAAAAAAACCCTGCTGTGTGCTCGTCGGTAGGGGCTTGACTTGTAATGAGTGAGCCTCTCTGCTGGGATTTATGAAAGCCACAGAAAGTCAGCTGACTCGTCACGTGGCACATTTTGTTCCCCTTTCTCCAGAGAAAATTGGAACTCACATCAGCTGGTGGATCAATTTAGCTCTGATGTTCTGAGGAGAGATATGTTTGCAGTGATGTAAAGTAACTAAGGAGTTTTACTCAAGTAATGCACTTAATTAAAATTGTTAGGAAAGTATACTTTACTAGAGTATTTCAATGTTTTAAACTATGTTTTTTAGTAGCCTACCTTTAGTTACTTTGTTGATTTGTTTAATGATGTGAAAATAATCAACACTTAAATAAGACTTCATTTACATCACAAGCTACCCTGCAGCATACAAAGTATTTAACTTTTACCAGCTTTGATAACACTTAAACACATCAATAATTATAATTAGAACATGTAATCTATATTATACTGAAATGGGCCATTCTGAATAAAAAATACTTTTTTACTTGAGTAACCTTTTGATTGCAGGACTTTTACTCGAGGTTGTGCAATAATTCACCTTTGTCAGTATGTGCGTCTGTAGGCTACTGTGTATTGTGTTTGTTCAAACGGTGTATGAGTGATGATATGTGTATTTTTAATGTTTATTATGTTTGTATATGTAAATGTATGTGGAACTGCAGGATGAAGTCCAGAACAAATTTCCTTACGGNATGGGAGCACTCGCTCCAGAATCCCCATCCATCCTTCGTTCTAAGCCCTAAACGTGTCATTATCAGTAAGTCAAGTTACTAATTATTATCTTAGCTACAAGTGCTTGTAGCTAAGATAATAATTAGTAACTTGACTTACTGATAATGACACGTTTAGGGCTTAGAACGAAGGATGGATGGGGATTCTGGAGCGAGTGCTCCCATTACATGCTTATTGCATTAGTGTCCATGTGTAAAAAGACTTCCTGGAACTTAAGGAAGTGGTCATAGCCACAAAGGAAGTGCCATCTCTTTCAAAGTACATTTCAAAATAAAAGCTGCCTTCTAACTGCTAATACATTCCTATTTGTGGTCCATGACAATATTACTGATGGACTTTAAAGAGGCCCTAATTTAGCCTTTTCTCTTTCATGTAGTATGTTATATAGCTTTTTGTTCACTTCAATGGTCAGCAAAGGCTAAAACCCCAAAGCTCAAGACGGAGGGAGTTTCTCTCCCACACACTCAGACCCCCCCTGCCTGAAACGCATTAAAGCATTTAATGCTTTAATTTAACTCTCTAAGCAGTTGGCCAATCACAACAGAGCCGGCCAGCTAACCAATCAGAGCAGACTGGACTCTGGTTTCAGACAGAGGGTGAAAAGAGGTGCTGCAGCACAGGCAGTAAAATAAAGAGCTTTTTGAACATTAAAGCGTGTCATCATATCACAGTAGAGGCACTCAATACAAATATGAAACTGAGTATGAGCATTAAAGGGGCCCTTTAAAGCAAAGTAGTATTAGTAGTAGTTGAAATTAGTTATGTCAATCAGCTGTTTGCTGTGGGATGGAGGGTTTGTTGCCCAGTAGCCCAATGATTTCCTCTTATGTAGTTCTTTATTGCTGATTGACTGACAATATCAAAGAGTCAAGACCCTGTTGTCTACGTGTGACACTTGAGTTTACAAAGTGGGGCTTAAACCACAAACCACATGGGCTAAATGGCTAACACGTAGAATAACCACTGGTTAGCATTATACACAAAAAGGAAATGATATAGCTTCTCATATTTCTGAGAGTTTGCTGATTATATAAAACAGGTTTTATTCCTGTGTGTTGATCATGTCTTTAATCATTGAAATTTAGTTTTTCCTTTTCAGGTCAAACTAAGAGGACCCTGCTAAATTGGGTTGGTCAGTAAAACAATATTACACACACACACACACACACACACACACACACACACACACACACACACACACACACACACACACACACACACACACACACACGTAAGTTA